CTAATAGTGTTACTGCAATTTATCATGTGAAGCTGTCTAATGGAGACATCATATGCTGGGAAAATTTTTCTCAAGCATTCTTTGCAGCCTGTTGAGCCAGCAGAACATCTTGTGTGGGATAGGTTGTCACAGTAGCAACATTTGGTCATTTGTCTTATATTCCCAATTTTTTTGCAAGTGTGACATTTTTCTCGTTTATTGGAGACTGGGATTTGTATAGGCCGTGATGGTAATAGAGGCATGACGGCGCCCACCGGAAGAATTTCTGAAATGCAGCTGTAGCAAGACCATTCTCCAGTAAGTTCAGTTATGTCGCTAGGTGTTAGGTGAGCACATTTTGGGTGATATGTCATATAACAAATACTACAAGTGATGCTTATCTTGTGTGAGACTAGGCGCTTTGTACAGGCCTTACAGCTATTTTTACTACTTCGGATAACTACCATTTTTTGGCTGTAAATGATACTCTTGTTTAAATGTAGATATAGGTTTGCTACTGTATATTAATATATAATAAAGTACACGGAAAAACAGTCACTGAAAGTATCTACTCCAGATGAGTGAGCCAAGAAAATGGGGCTAGGGAAGAGTGAGAAAACGTGCGAGGTTTTGTGAACACTCTGTCCGGGTCCCTAACTTCAGCTCCTAACTAGAGAAATCACTTCAGTTAAGTGTTGTTCTGTGGGAATAAGTTTAAAAAGTTAATTGAAGTATGTGAAATGTGAATGTGACTTGTATTCTGTATTTGTAACTTGTAAGTGTATGTACTTAGTGGTCTGATTACGTGATTCAACTTAGTAAAGATAAGATTTCGATTAGCCGTAAGCTGGTGCAGATAAGACATGGTTCGTATACTGTACGATTCTTAGTAGATTAATAATTATGTCCAAATTTTCGATGTAGTATGTTTGTAGATTGTATTGCTGTTCTAAGGTCTGCCCAATGAAGAAACATACTCCCGTCTTAGCGGCCAGTGTTTTCGAATTAATGCTTCGGTAGATAATGCTTCGGTAGATCGGCGAGATGCACCACTGTGCCTCACCGAGCTGCGAAGGATTGACATCGTGAATCAACTCTTAAACGTGCCTCCAACTGTTAAATAGATCCACATTTTAGTGCATTCTACCAGATTCTTATCAACCTAGATTCTACTATAGTTTGTATATTATATACCAGAGCACGTCACATTTCAATAATTTTACAAAATGTTATTATATCAGCTACATATGCAGTTTGAAGGATTAAAACACTTTTACGATGATGCTGTTAGAATAACAGAATATTTACGCTATAATACAGTTGACATCAAGAATATTATAACATTACCAAACTAAGTAAAAAATAACAACTGTCCAATGTCCTAACTCAAACTGTAACCATGAACCTGACCAAAAATGTCAGTAAATATCAGTTTATTCGAAATCTCAGTCAATTCACTATGAAGACCCTTGAAAAAGACAAGCTATCACTTCCTTTAACAGACCTTGACAACGCGAAGAGGACCACAAAGTTACCACCTGCAAGCTTAAAACAGAAGGTTGCGGCAAGGAAGCAGAAACGTCCACTGAGTGATTCGGAAGGTGATTCAAGTGGTGTCTCGAGGAGAAGCGCAAGAAGAGGAAATGATGATAGCGATGATACGCAGGATTCGATGAAATCGAATCAATCCATAGCAAGGTCAACACGAAGGGGAAATAAGAACAAAATCATTGAAACTGAATCAGATGATGGAGAACTTTCCCTCAAAGCTGAATCTGAAATCCATACCACCAAGAAGAAAACAGTTGCAGCGAAACGGGGGCGGAAGAAGCAGAACACTGCTCCAGATATAACTGATGACGAGGAAGCGAGAAGTCAATCTCCGGATCCTCAGCCTACCCTCTCTACTCCCGTGAAGCGACAAACTAACCGAGCTTCTAGAAGTTCACCAGCAGTCTCTTTAAAGAAGGTGAACTGGTGGAGAACGTGTGAGGGGTTAGTGGAGGAAGATGATGAGGATAGGAGGATAAGGAGGAGAATCAGAAAGGTGAGAGCAAGGAGGACAGCAGAGGAGAGGATGAGGAGCGTGGTCGTGGTACCACGCTCCCAGGAAAGAACGGTGAGAATGGAGTCACCACCCCCGCTACCACCATCAAGATCAAGATCCAGAACGCCGCCGCCTCCCCCGCCCAGGTACTTTTCAAAGGAGGACACTAGGAGGGTAGAGAGGGGTGAATGGGGGCCCCAGGGTGCCGAAAGGAGGATCGTACCCTGGATGCGTTGGGATGTAGTGGAAAGAGAGGGGACGACCAGGGCTTTGGAGGATAGATGGAAGAGCTTCACGGATGATATTTTGAAGAGGATGGAGGAGGCCAGGACCACGGAGGAGGCTAGGGAAATCTGGGGGTAATAGAAAAGGAAGCACAGGAGCTGAAGGATTTGTTCATTAGGAAGGTGTTCACGGGTTTGGAGGAGCTTAGGGATGCTGGCAAGCTGGAGGCTAACAGGAAGCCTGGGAGTTTTCAGATACTTAAGGGGGGCTTTAAGTACCTGGTAAAGGGGATGCAGGGGGATGTGGTGCGGGGTGTTGGGTTCCAGAAAGGGTTAGAGAAGATTAGCAATAGCATGGATGAATTACTAGGATGCCTGTGACTGGTAAGGAGGCTGGTGGACCTGAGGAAGAGGCGGGAGTAATCATCTGTGGAGTGCCTCTTGTTTGATACAGAGTGCCGTCATCGTTTGGAGTGCCTCTTGTTTTATACAGAGTGCCATCATCATGGGAGTGCCTCTTGTTTTATACAGAGTGCCATCATCATGGGAGTACCTCTTGTTTGATACAGAGTGCCATCATCTTGGGAGTGCCTCTTGTTTGATACAGAGCGCCATCATCATGGGAGTGCCTCTTGTTTGATACAGAGTGCCATTTTATTTATTTGTTTTGATAAAGGGACAGATAATGATATGGTATTTCATTGGTATTTTAATATTTATATTTTTAAATTTTATTGGATATCTATTATTGATTGTATTGTAGTGGGGATTTAGTCAATTCGGATCCAATCGATCGAGTTTATTTGTTTTGATAAGGGGACAGATAATGATATGGTATTTCATTGGTATTTTGATATTTATATTTTTAAAATTTTATTGGATATTTATTATTGATTGTATTGCAGTGGGGATTTAGTCAATTCGGATCGAATCGATCGAGCTTATTTCTTTTGATAAGGGGACAGATAATGATATGGTATTTCATTGGTATTTTGATATTTATATTTTTTAAATTTTATTGGATATTTATTATTGATCGTATTGTAATGGAGTTTTTAAAAGTTTTAGTCAATTTGATCTACGCCTCATTTATAGGCGAGGATCAAATCGATCAAATTGTCCCGGGGAGTATGGTGTAGTTTTGTAGTCCTCAGTATAGGTTTTATTTCACATTTTAATATTTTAATTCATCGTTTTTTTGCCACTTTTATTTTAAGGTTATCTCACGTTTCTATTTCATATTCGTACATTTACTTTCTTATCTTTAGTTCGTTCGGCCGTTTGTTTATTTATCAAATTTTTACGAGCCCTTTTTTAAGAGATGAGGGAGAGATTTTGGGAGATAGCCACTTCTGTAAATGTAACCGAGCATTCGTCGGGTTTTGAGTTATAAAGTTTTCGACCGTTCGTTCGGCCGTTTGTTTATTTATCAAATTTTTACGAGCCCTTTTTTAAGAGATGAAGGAGAGATTTTGGGAGATAGCCACTTCTGTAAATGTAACCGAGCATTCGTCGGGTTTTGAGTTATAAAGTTTTCGACCGTTATACGAGAGCGTTTTATTTGGTACAGTACACTAAATTTAAGTCTTGTTTAAAATACAGACTCCGGCAGTCTTCCACCTTTCTGGTTTTTAAACAGACTGAGTCACCAGATCGCAGCTCACCGGAGTTCACTGTCAGATCTACGTGCAGCCACTACCGCGAGTTGCTGAGTCCCCATCTCCTCGTTTACCGGGAGTTTAAATATTAAGTTTGTATCTTGTTTTAGACAGGTGCATCCGTAGCTCGTTTTATACAGTTGCGTTTATTTAACTCCTCGTTCATCGGGAGCAGTACATTTTAGCTTTAGTGTTAATTCCTCGTTTACCGGGAGTTTAAATATTAAGTTTGTATCTTGTTTTAGACAGGTGCATCCGGAGCTCATTTTATACAGTTGCGTTTATTTAACTCCTCGTTCATCGGGAGCAGTACATTTAGCTTTTAGTGTTAATTCCTCGTTCATCGGGAGTTGTCACTATATCACCTTCACATATCTCGTTTAAAACAGATATATCGTTCCTTACTCCTCGTTTATCGGGAGCAGTTTATTAGGTTTTATATGAAGAAATCACGTGACAGTCGAGTGCAGAGTGATTAATCTTCATCCTGTTTTGGCAGAACATTTTTAATTGTACTGTTATTTGTTACCAATTAGTGAAATCGCCGTGGATGGCACAACTACACAAATGCACGAGCAACGAGACAAGACTGAGGTACTGGAAGCTATAATTCCGGAAAATTAAGCATTAGCAAATGAAAGATCAGCAAAAAAGGGACACATTTACAAACATGTTAACTGTTAAGGTCCGCTGTAACGAATATTTTAAAGCCTATAGAACAAATACAATGAACAAGGGAAAGTGGGGTTTTGGGATTATCTGAAAGTGTGTTGCTGATTTAATAATTTGACTCAGTTTTGATTGACGATGTCAACCCTTTGAGATCGTTGTTCTGCTTCACAGAGCAACGAACTGCGAAGGGTTCGATGCGGAGCAAGAATGATAGTGATACTGATGGTATAATTCCGTTTGGGTGAATTTCTATGTGCAAAATTTGAGATATCACTTCAAACACAAGAAAATAGTGCTGTCGGACAGATGTCGCTGTCGGACAGATGTCGTGTTACCTATAATTCCTCCAAACTTAAATTGTGAAGGGTTCATTGAAATTGTGTATATTATTAAATTTAGTGATTCAATGACTACGCACAATTATGTGGGATCAATATTAAGATAAAATATACTTTTACATTTACAAAACTAAAAATAATTTCAACGTGTAGAAAGTGCTCAATAATTTGATCGGATGCCAATTGAAGATCCATACTCTGATTATTTTTTCTGGTATTTTCAGCTCCAGGAAAAAAATCATTTAGACGCAGCTCTTCTAAACAATTCAAATCTGATTCTCGAACCAAGTGAATAACACGGTTGAAGAGCAACAGACTTGATCGATATTTAAAAGCTGTCCTTCTGTCAGAATATTTAACCAAATACACGTTTACCTATATTTCTATGGAGTCATAACATATAATAACTAAAGGGCGAGCAAGTATCGAGAACTCTATGAATAAAACGTTAAAATATAGTCCAATAAATTACGAGAGGCCAGTTGAATCATGCAAAAAACATGCTGTTATATAAACTAAAATTTCATCACATCTTATTGCTACAAAATTCTTTTCAACTCCTTAAAAATCTGAAAAGACAACAACAAGGAAGGGTAATTATTGTCATCTGTGTGTTATTAATATTTAAAATTAATGTCGTCTTTTGCAATCCCTACGGATCAGGTTATTTGTTGAGAATGCTAAATGGCAGTTGATAACCTAAAGTAACTTTGACTAAGGATATGTAACTTAATAGCCCGAAATGTTGTTAATAAAATCGTTACAGAATAAAACTGCCATTTAACTAGGGATTACCATTAGTTCGCTACTAGTCACTAGTTACAGTCACTAGTTCGCTACAGTCTCGTGAGAAAAGCTCTTGAGATTTAAGTGAAAGTTCGCTTCATGCTGGCACGATTATATCTATGATTATGAACAGTTCACATTCTTGGTAGGAATCAGCTGTTAGATTGCCTCCTTCTCTCCATTGAGTGCGGAGTGTTTGGGCCCGCCAATATTGAAGCAGTACTTCATGATGCTGAACACGACAAACTGGATGAATTCGAGGATTGTGAACAAACTAGCACCCAGGAAGAGCCCCAGAACACCACCAATGTCACCTGTGAGAGGAGTGTGTTACTCCTAACTTGGTTAAATTACCTGTTATAAAGAGTATTTCTGGCATATGTGGGAAATTATCACTGCATCCTTTTAAAATAATAAAGATATTAAATAAGTGGTTTACCGAGAAGATTTCCCATGTCGTAGTTGATAATTTCCCTGATTTCAGATGTTCGCATACTGGTGAAGAGTACCTCGAGCACCATTACGTTCTTCCTGCAGGTTTATTAGCAATGTTTATCATACTTTTGAGTTGGTAATGGTAGACAAGAAAAAAATCATCATCATTTTGATTCTTTAGGGAAAAAGAAAGTGTGACAATACTGGATTAAAAAATACTCACAAAATGTCATCAGTGGAATTGTAAAGAATGTCAAATTCAGGTTTTGAGTATCCGTATTGGGGAAGAGAGATGATAGGTTGGACACCAGGGAAGATGCCTGCAGCGAAGGCAGGGGACACTGAGGAACTGCTTATCTAGTTCAGGAAATGTTTATTAATTAAAATACGGAGGATGTACAATGTTTGGTGATAAACGAACATAAACACTTTCGTTCGAGAAAACGATCATGACCGAAAGGTTAAAAGAGTAGGGCCAATGTTTATGTCAAAAAGCCAAAACATGTTTGTAGGCTGAGGGTAGAATTACCTGAGCTTCGTATCGGATCTCTTCACAGGCGGTAGAACAAGGACAGATCTTAGTGGACAAGTCAGGGTTTGTGTAGTCGTCATCTGTAATGGTTAGTGTTATAGGCAAACATAGTTTTAGTCTAGTTTATATATACATTCTAATAGAGTCACGATGTCCGCATCATTATCTGGTTGGAAACCAGGCAACGCTAGGTAACTAAATACTTACACCAGCTCCTATAGGCTTTGGTAACCAGGCAACGCTGGGTAACTAAATACTTACACCAGCTCCTGTAGGCTTTGAGACCGCATTTCACCCACTCCTCCAGGTTACAGGACCTGTACTTTCCGTTGTTCAGGGGAGGGACCACGTTCACGCAACCACACGCTTCATGGATAGCCCTGAATTTAAGATAATAATCTCAAGTTGAAAAGATAAAAGAACCAATCACTGAATTGAGAATAATAAGGCGAAAAAACAAGGATGAAGATTATTCTTAATATATTCTTATCGAAGAAGAAAAATTCAGAAAAAAATATGTACAAATGTTAATTAATTTTAAAATGATTTACTTGTCTTTGCACTCGAGAGCACACGAACCCTCGTTGTACGATCCGTAAGTGTTTGCAACAAGAGAAACATCACAACTTTCAATCTTATCCTTTCTCCTGATTTCCTGAAACAAGCAATTCATTAAACATGTCACAACGAGTTTGCAAAGAAAAATTAAAGTGTTGAAGAAAATAAGAAAATATGTTAATTTTAGTAATTTAAAAGCGTATGTTAAATTATTAATACCGCTTTACGTCTAAGATCAGCCTTGTAGTACGTGCCGGGACTCATAAGAAAACCAGATGCCATTGATGAACCGTAAGTACCGTTGTCATGGAATGCGACTACAAACCCTTGGTTCTCCGTATCTGCACTTCGGGTCCTGTAATAAGGTGAAATTATTCTCGCTTCAGTTACAAAAGGTCCATAACGGTTATATGTCTAAAAATGAAGTAAAATAACCTTCGTTTTCTTTCAAGACTCCTGTACACAACAACTAACTTTCAAGGTGTCTTAAATAGTGTCTTTAACTAAGTTCCCAGGCAATTCGAGGTGTGTAAACCTGTATTTACCCTAATAGATGGTTTTTACAATTATATGGGCAAGATTGCTAGTCGAGCTGGTAATGAGCCAAATAGAATATTTAATATCATAACTTTAAAATTAATTCTACTTTCCGATGTTTTTAATGTTATGTCATGAAAAACGTGTGACCCTAACTGAACCACAGTTATGGGCATATCTCATTTTACACAGCGATACCAAATTGAAGAACAAAAATCTTATAGAACGAATATAACGGCCGATGGTGCAAACAAGTGTGGTGATAGATCAATAGTACGATTCCGCACCCACAGCACTTTATATATGTTGCAACTATTAGACACTAAGTAATAGTACACATTTAACTGCAACAAACTTTAAATGGTACTTAGAGTAATTAATTAAGGTAATTAACAGTAAAACTCACGAGTAATCCTGGACATCAGCCCAGAACATAAGTTTCAGAGACCCGTAATCTCCCATTTTTCCCTGGAGCTCACCATCGGGGTTTACCCTCCAGCATCGTCCTGTCATCGAGTTTTCCTGACAAAAAGAAACACTGAAACAGAATCGACTTCCCTAATCGTTGAAGAATATCGTCACTTAAAGTTGGCGGTTGTTTTAAACGAGGTAGCAATAAAGAAATTTGAAATGTAACGTACCATAACTGAAATTCTGTCGACGTTGTTTTCGAAAGCCTTAAGAGTATTACAATATTGTCCTCTCTGCTGGCACTTCAACAGTCTGTCCTTATTGGGGCCTCCCTGCTCAATGAGGTCCTCATAAAGTACATCCTTTATCTGGTACATATCATCTTCAGGGTCCTCGAACCTTGCTGCCAGTTCTTCGGCCTTAGCCACATCATACTGATCTAAAACCTCGTAATACTCCTTCAGCAGTATGTTTTCCTCAGAATCAAGGAAAGATTTTTTGACCTGGAAAAAGAAATATCAATAGATTGAGGTATCGTATTCCAAAAACAAAATAAATTTCGGATATATTACAAAAACATTGCTTTTATAAGTTAAATACTTAATAATAACCTTGTTCATGGAACAGACACTGATGGTAGGGAATTTAATACTCTCGGGTTTATCCGTCATTCCGCTGTCTTGCAGCACTTCAAACTTGGTACCTGCACGTTAATTAATATTCATGTTTGTTCAATACAAGTTATAACATCTAAAATTTTTCCAAGTATATAGGTTTGTGCGTTACTTCTGAACACTATCATATTTTAAACGTCACCTTTGAAGCTCACAGGAATGCCTCAAACACAATTGAAAATTTAGTCGAAAGCACTGAACCACTGTTCGCGGTATTAAATTGTTTAATTGTGTAACACTAACAGTGTAACGCTAACAGTGTAACGCTAACAGTGTAACACTAACAACGTAACACTAACAGTGTAACACTAACGGTGTAACACTGACAGTGTAACACTAACAGTGTAACACTAACAGTGTAACGCTAACAGTGTAACGCTAACAGTGTAACACTAACAACGTAACACTAACAGTGTAACACTAACGGTGTAACACTGACAGTGTAACACTAACAGTGTAACACTAACAGTTTAACGCTAACAGTGTAACACTAACAGTGTAACACTAACGGTGTAACACTAACAGTGTAACACTAACAGTGTAACACTAACAATGTGACACTAACAGTGTGACACTAACAGTGTAACACTAACAGCGTAACACTAACAGCGTAACACTAACAGCGTAACACTAACAGCGTAACGCTAACAGTGTAACACTAACAGTGTAACACTAACAGTTTAACGCTAACAGTGTAACACTAACAGTGTAACACTAACGGTGTAACGCTAACAGTGTAACACTAACGGTGTAACACTAACAGTGTAACACTAACAGTGTAACACTAACAGTGTAACACTAACAGTGTAACACTTACAGTGTAACACTAACGGTGTAACACTAACAGCGTAACACTAACAGCGTAACACTAACAGCGTAACACTAACAGCGTAACGCTAACAGTGTAACACTAACAGTGTAACACTAACGGTGTAACGCTAACAGTGTAACACTAACGGTGTAACACTAACAGTGTAACACTAACAGTGTAACACTAAAAGTGTAACACTAACAGTGTAACACTAACGGTGTAACACTGACGTCTGACAGTGTAACACTAACAATGTAACACTATAACAATGTAACACTAACTTGTAGGCTTCTGCACGTAGGTTATTACAGATGTAATAATGACATTACACGCGTAGATAGATAATCCTAACCAAGTTACCAGAAACAGCAACTTCACCAGCTGAAAGAGTAGTAGAGTTAGTAGTTACTACTTATTATAACGTATATTTTAAATAGTTACTACTTATTATAACGTATATTTTAAGTCTAAATTTTCAAGACTAGAGTTGTTTTTAAAAAAATGTTTTTAAGAGAGGCTGGGCCAAGATAGCCCACGAGAGGATAGCATTGAGATGCTCTGCCTACCTCTGGGGAAGGTTGCCGGTGAAATCAGAGTGAATGGTGGAGGATGGTGTAAAAAGTGACATGAGTCAAAATGATACGCTTAAGTGCCAGCTGGGTTTGGAAAAATAAAACGAGACGAGACAGCATATGAGATAATACTTTAAGACTTAAGTCACCCCGGTCTGATCCAGCTCTTCCGGTCAATTAGGCGTAAGACTAGATTGTTTTAAAAATGCTTTATTGAGGGGGTGACTGGAACGTAATGATTGTTCTGAAAACACGCTGATCCGTCTTTGTTGCAAAATAAACGGCCCGGTGCCGCGAACGGTTTGTCGTTTAGAGACGAATAATAATAACACTCATCTCTAGGTAATCGTCTACCAGTGAAATCATAATATTTATAATGCGATATAGTTAGTTTAGTTATAACGTAATGAACTAACGTTAAATAAATAAAATAATTTTTACCTTATAGGGACCCTCGAATATGTACTTCACGCCATGGGCGCTTGTATCGTTTGCAAACTCGCGAAAATCACGAACCCAACTCATCTGAAATGCATAAATGTTAAACCCAAGAAGCTCATCTCAAATACAGTTGTTTTACTCTCGCGGAAACAATAATTATGACTACATTTTATGACTAAATTTTATAATTATGACTACATTTTATTACATCCAGATTCTTTAACTTTGTTCAGTTAATTCTAAAGACCACATGCATGACTGGGCAACAGACAGGTATGATAAAATAATATCATATTAATGATCATATTAATACCCGTGCATTAATCAATTGGACATTTTACGCAAATTTTTCCGCACCTAATTTGAATAAAGTGCAGAAAAAATAAAACTTGATGGATTTTTTACACAGTATCGTTTGGGTTTTACTGTAGAAAACTTTGAAGAAAATGATCACTATCAGATGAACAATTACACAGCATAGATCCTAAATCTCATACCTTGAGGGACCAGTATAAACGTTTTGTCCAATAAAATTCCCGATAAACCATTAATTCAAGATTCGAATAGATTCGAAGTAATAAGCTCTCCTTAAATCCCTTGCATGACTTAGACAAACATTGGTGTAAAAGGCCCTGGTAGTACTGACTAATACCATCTAACCACCACTACAATAGGCTGGTCTCAGGTCAGACAATTTCTGGTCCCTCTCGATCTTTTGCTGTGCAATTTGCTGTGAGACACCTTGTGGTAATGTGGGGATGTGACAAAGGGTCAGATAAGAGGGTGTGACAGTTTAATTACGGTAATTATTATTGTTAATGTAAACAGATATAACTATTATCACTGGGAGTTTTATATAATATAACTCTATATAATAGAGGTCTATATAGAACAATAGCATTACCTCCGTGATCTTCATGACTGATTTTATTAATGTTTAACTCCGCAGTTTGGTGTTTCACAAGCTAGCTTTAAGTGCTGAGGTATAGTATATAGTACCAGAGTAAGAAAAATTAAATTAGAATAAGAAAATTAAGCTAGGGTTAAATTCAAGAACAGTGTCAGAAATTAAAAAATTAAAAAATCTGATTTAGGAGAAACGGAAAAATGAAACTTTCGAGCAACCTCTAAATTACAATTGTTTCACCCTTTTTTGGTTGCAATCACATCAAATTGAACTATAAATTTCGATACTTTTATGCCTCCAAACATATGATAATAGCGAATAGATTCGAGCATAAATACGGACTGAACAAAATGAACTTTTCCGGTCATCTTCACACAACGAACAGCGTAACAAATATATGTAGTTTCAAGTAGTAGTCAGTGCCGCTGATTAGTGCCGTTGAGCTGATATAGTACGTGATATCTAAGTGAGTAAGCCTAAAAGGGCGCCCAGATATCGTCATTACACTCGTAGTCAGTGAGGTAGGGAACGCGCACTCTTGTTGCCGTGTTGTGGGCGTGAGGGGCACGGAATAGTACATAGAATAGGACACAGAATAGGAGCATTGACCAATCTCATCTAAAAATAACTCCTTGCACAAAAGTTTAGTTTTGTCCGAGAAACTTTCAGAAACAAACAATTTTAAAAGAGCATAAAAATGTTAATTCTGAGAGGAGGACAGGCTGACATATGCTCATAAAGGGGCTGTGGGAAAGTTGGACATTCTCACGTCCTGAGTGTAGCTATGACTGGCTCACTCTTCAAGGAACAACATATTTTCGTTAGTAAATTAGATTTGCTACATGGATATTGGATAAGGTCTCCGAAAAAAGCATGATTTCACCGAGATGCGCTCCTAAAGGAAAAGGGTATGACAAATTAAATCAATCCATACCGCCAGTTGTAACGCGAGGATCAAATAGAAAATAACTATACTTGCTTCGATATTGAGGTTTCTACGTCACTTCCAGAGGGGCCTCGTACGGGACGAGATGAAAATGACAGCTGAATTTGTGACCATGGGATTTCTCAGGGGGTGCTTAGCTTAAAATCGTATTATCAGGAAATAGAAGTAGTTCGTCTTGAATGAGGTTAGCACATTTCCTCCCTCCAGGGCATTTGTTAATTATTAACTTGATACGCTGAATTTAGAATTTGTTTAGTCTATTGTTAGGCAGTTAGTTCATAGGGTTCTGCAGATCAGCATGCGTGAAATAAATCCTGCTGAGCAAGACAGAAAGTGATCATTGCAGTGATGAGTGATCATTGCAGTCGTTGTCAGGATTTCATTATCTTCAATCTTTCAATGGGAGCCAGCATACTAGGGAGCCCTCAGCCTACATACCAGGCTGCATACCAGCCAGCCTACCAGACTGTCAGATACTGGTATTATAAATCAATAATAAAATCAGGGGTGAAAAGCAAGGTAGTACCGCCTGTTTAATCCCTATAACAACGATCAATGTTAGTTGAATTATATTTTACTTTCATCTAGATAATACTATAAACTAAGGATTATTACGTCATAGATTTAAGGTAATATGTGAGAGGTAATGGTAGAACTACAGTTGATAAGATTACCAGTCATGAGCTGTGTGAGGCGCACTAACTTGTCATTAGACATCATCCTATCATTAGCAGAGACAAAGTAAATGACAACTTCACCATCATCCTATCATTAGCAGAGACAAAGTAAATGACAACTTCACCATCATCCTATCATTAGCAGAGACAAAGTAAATGACAACTTCACCATCATCCTATCATTAGCAGAGACAAAGTAAATGACAACTTCACCATCATCCTATCATTAGCAGAGACAAAGTAAATGACAACTTCACCATCATCCTACCATTAGCAGAGACAAAGTAAATGACAACTTCACCATCATCCTATCATTAGCAGAGACAAAGTAAATGACAACTTCACCATCATCCTATCATTAGCAGAGACAAAGTAAATGACAACTTCACCATCATACTATCATTAGCAGAGACAAAGTAAATGACAACTTCACCATCATCCTATCATTAGCAGAGACAAAGTAAATGACAACTTCACCATCATCCTATCATTAGCAGAGACAAAGTAAATGACAACTTCACCATCATCCTATCATTAGCAGAGACAAAGTAAATGACAACTTCACCATCATCCTATCATTAGCAGAGACAAAGTAAATGACAACTTCACCATCATCCTATCATTAGCAGAGACAAAGTAAATGACAACTTCACCATCATCCTATCATTAGCAGAGACAAAGTAAATGACAACTTCACCATCATCCTATCATTAGCAGAGACAAAGTAAATGAAAACTTCACCATCATCCTATCATTAGCAGAGACAAAGTAAATGACAACTTCACCATGAATATCACCTGATTAAGATATCGTTATGTGACAAAGTTAGCCTAGAGGATGAGACGATTATCCTAACCATCAAGGGTTTGTGTAATTTCATAGTGTGACAAAGTCAACTACACTGTGCCTTATATTTACCAATATCCTCAAACTCAAATGAACGTGTCCATATATAAAGCTCAATGAAGGACAAGCTATATAGTGCGTTTTGCACACTATATGGTGACAAAGATCAGCTGTCATTATAAAGAGCTTGCCAATATATAGTGTTGTCACTATATAGTGCGATTACCATGAATACCACAGCAAGCTCTTGTAAGAATGGTTTCCGTTCCGGCAAAAGATTCCTAGAATAAGCTAAAATCAACGCCGATTTTTGAAGTCACTACTTTTATTTCTATAAAAAGCTCAAAGCTAAAGCTTCTTTACCGACATATAGCAGCGTGTGGATTGTAAGAACAAACTAGAAACTACAACCGTGGTGCAATTACAACTTGTCTCCGGCCTTCAAGCAGACCCGTCAAATTTGGTGCACCTTTTGTACAGATTCAAGAGAAGTCATGTACAACACAGAGGTCGGCTCGAGAACCGGACTGCTTCCAGTTAACGTAGGCGTTTCCTTAAGTAGAGAAAAGGAACAGTTCACAACATTCTCTCAAACACACTTCAAAGGAAGCATCTATTGTTTTAGAATTTAATTATGATAATTGTTAGGTTGAAACTTAAGTAGCTCAGTTCACGAAAGATACTTCTTGCAAATTCTTGCGAATGGTGATAATTTTATAGCACGTCACGTACGTCTCCAGGTACAACACTGTTACAATGAGAACTGTCCAAATGTTGCTGTCAGACAATTCAGAGAAATAAACAAACCGAAAAGTTGAATTGGTATCTCACTTTTCACAAATATAGAATTGTAATTTTGAATAGGTCGCACCCTTTGCTAATATAGCAGAAGCAATAGATATTAGATAGTAGCGTACCGGTCATATTGAATACACAAGAATGCAAGAAACAGATTTGTCGACCACAAAAATGCGGGACAGACAACGAAAGAATAATTTTTGTCTATTTTTCTTTTGGGGGACCAAAGAAAAAGAATTAAAGAAAGTCGGAAATGCTGCGATTTTACAATCTTTACCTCATGAAAGATAAGTGACCTGGCCACTCACTTGGTCGAGTGTTGTACAATCTAATTTAAAGTTCCCACTTATAATTATACGATGGTAATCGCAAATAATAACCTACATTAACTTCTGTGCTAAATGTATAGGGTCACATAAGCTTCCTCACTGTGTATAACGTGAAAATTGAGAAAAGAAACGAGGGGGAAAATTTTAACAAACACAAAATTCTTGATTTTCAAACAATCAATGCAAAAATGAAGTTGTTTTTAAGATGGCTAAGATAACAACCCATATAAATAAGAATTTATAACAGTATGTGATGCTTTCTAAAGATATGCGGAGTGCTACTCTGTGTTAATTACAACTTAAAATAGCTTAAATTATCCGCCACGTTCCTACCTTTAGAAACCCTATTTTAAGGTTACAATATGTTGTTGAATTATTTGAACAGCGAAATAATATTAATTTTCTAATCAGTCACTAATCAGTCACAAAGTTCATGTTCGGCGTAAAATGTTCGGTTCGATCGGTCCCAACTTATTACCAACTGTTACCCTACCTAGTCCTACATGATATCCATCTTAGCATTCAACTTATAAGGCGGGGTGAGCCAACGAAAAATAATTCAATGAACACCAATTCAATGAATAACTATGCAATGAATTATAAAGCCATGATGCGCTGCTACTGTTTAAGTGTTTAACATTAGAAAGGTTTGTAATAAAATAAAGGACACAACATCTCATGATACATTTGTTAGTACGGGGGGGGGGGGGGGGGGGGGGGGGGGATGAGGTACTAAGTTCTGTACGTGACGTCGACTAAGTGTAATTTTGAAATTTTGTCAAAAGACCCACCCACCCCCTTCGCGGCTTTTGTGGTACTAACTGTTACTGTTAGTAAATCACGGTAATAACTGTGTCTTGGTATATAAAATAAGATACCCACCCATAAATTGCTTTAAACAGCTCATTAAACATTTAATAGGATAAGATGATGTAAAATAAGAAGGTTATTGCGTGTGACTATTAACGTTTTTAAGGGTAACCTCAATATCATGTTGTTATTTCTAACATGCAACCTAGATACCTTCAGGACCCGGGACATTCTGACACCTATTCAATTAATGACCATTATTTAATACTACAATTCCCAGTCTCAGGTCTGCTGCGAGTGTGACGCCACAATGGGGGGGGGGGGGGGGGGGGGGGGGGGGCTCATCAAACCCACAAACTCAAACACACCAGTCAGCAAAGAGTATGTTGTAGAACATTAGTAATTGCATGTACTATACTACTACCCGTATTTACACTCAGAATAGAACTGGACCATTTTCCGATACGGGGACGGGTTCTATACAACTAACTGAACATTAGTGGTTCTGTAGGCTTGTAGGCTAGAATAGCATATGATACAAGAGGACAAAGGCGTAGAGTGAGATGTGTTAACTTAATTTAGTAGTCTTGAAATTTGCTAAAAAAGTAAAGCAAGAATAAAAAGAAATCTGGCAATCCGACGATAAAGTACGTGACCCTGAATTT